AATCTCGGGGACTTGGGGCCAGGGAAGCCTGGGGCACCTTCAATGCATTGGGCTGTGCTCGCCTGCTGCAGAAGACCCCGGCCTCTCCTGCACCACCTCTGTCCCGAGAGCCCCGGGTGGGGGCCACGAATCAAACCGACTGGAGATTTGCCTGCCTGATTCTTAATATGGGGTTCAGTTTAATTCTATTGTCAAATGCAATTTACTCTCAAACGACGTTGAAGGTAACACTGAAATAAGGTTTTGGAACCCTGCAAAATAATTACAGCCTGTATGACACATTCCAGTGTGTGCGACGTTGCTCCTGAATCTAATAAAGAACATTTTAAAAGGAAAAAAAAGGTTCTCTTTAGCTCTGGGCAAACAAGGACTCAGCTTATGTCCTGAAGCAGCGCTAGATCCCAGGAGGAGTTGCTGCAGGAGGGGGGGGGGGCTAGTCTGAGGAAATTAATGGAGCGTTTCCCCCCCCCCTATACTGGGACCAACCAGAAAAGAGAAGGCACAGATGGGGGCTCAGAGCAGAAAGGATGGAGGACTCCAGTGCCAGAGGGGCACCTTGGTCTGCAGCAGGCATGAGGCTAAACCCTAATTGAGCTTCTGTGCTTGGGAGCCTCAGGCTAAGATGCACCTTACGATGATCCTGGGAAATGTGTGTGTGTGGTGTGAGGTGGCCCGTTGCATTTCCCTCACAATAAAAAGTCGGGGTTGAAATAAGGGGCCCTTGGTGCTCTCTGAGCCTCTTTTCTTGCAGATGTTTCGTCACTGTTAGTGATGCTGATGTTGCCTAGTTTGGGTAATGAGGACTTCCCTACACATTTAATCTCATGCTCCCTAAAGTGCCCATCCGAGTTGGTCTGTGCCTTGATTCCTGCCACATCCGGAGGACACGCAAGGTCACGGCTGACGTGCTTCCCGGCTGAATCGGAGGCCCTGGGCTTTCACTTCTCACGCTTCAAATCTATTTGTCCAGAGTCTCTCCAGGCAAGATGGCACTTCGTCCTGCAGAGGAGCAAATGGGAAGCTTCGCCCTCAGGAGCACTCGGGGAAGGTGGTCAAAGGCCGGGCCAAACTCTGCACTAGCTCTCCCTGCACCCAGCCTGTGCCCTTTTCTCACTTTCCCCAGAGCTGCACCTGGTGGCATGCGCACAGTGAAATGCAGGGATTTGCCTGAGCTATTTATGCCGCAGGCATCAACAGATTCTTAATGGGGAGGGGAGCAACTTTCCCCCTAGGTCGGTTTTTAGGTGAAGAGAAAAAGGCTGTGGGGGGAGACACTCTCCTCCCCCCCTTAGACGGGATGATGGGCGTTAGCTGAGTAAGCTTTCCTTCAGAAGTTGTAGGTGCCTCATTGCTGGAGGGTTTTAAGAAAAGACTGGACAGCCACCTATCTGAAATGGTCTATAGGGTCTCCAGCTTGGGCAGGGGGTTGGACTAGAAGACCTCCAAGGTCCCTTCCAGCTCTATTCTGGTTGAAGTTGGGTTTAAGTCGAAATGCCTGGGCTCTCCTGCCCTCTCATAGGTCAGTCACCAGCTGACAACCTCCTGCCACGTGCCCCGTCCGGCTCCCTTGAACTGCCACAGGAGTGGCTGGGAGGGCCTGAGCTGGGCTCTCTCACCCAGACCCACCTTGCCCGCAGCAGCACTTGCAAATCTTCCTCTGGCTGCCGTGGCTGTCATGGGGTTGATGGTTTCCAGATGTTTGATACAATCCGTGCCAAAATAGCTCCAACTCTGGAAACAGCAGGGCCTGCCACCCGGGTCACTTCCCCAGCTCCAGCCGGGCTGCTGATCCATTTGTAGGAGTTCTAATTTCAAGTTCTCAAAATATTTCACATTTTCTAAAGCAATTTTGTGCCAGAGACTGCAAGTATGACATCCTTCGCCATTCAGCTAGCTGGTACCGCTCCCGTTCCGAGTGCTGGGTTTGGTTTTGTGGTGTGAAGGAGGCGAAGGGCGCCGCTGCATGCAGGCAGGGTGAAGCAGGGCCACGAAGTTTCATTCTCTTCACTGGCCGGTTTAATGAAAGGCCGAAACGGTTTTGCAGTTCTGGGAGCGAGGCACAACGGGGGCAACCAGGCAGGGCAAAAGGCGCGTCATCTGAATGGATGAGAAAGTCATTCAGCCGCAGTCGGAACTTGTGAGTTCTCGGGGACGCTGTTATTATCTGTAGGTCTATCCGAGTCCCTGTTTTCTGCCTCCGCTGTGGCTGAGCGCCCAGAAGTGCCGGAGAGGCTCGGCACGGAATTTCCCTAAAAGATTTACAATGCCTCGGTGAGTGATAAACGATCCGCCCCCCGCACCGAGGACCCTGGAAGGCCGCTACGCCCAGCCGAGCGCTTTCCGCGCAAGGACTGGCGGGGAGCTGCCGGAGCCGTGTGCCGGTGTCGGAGCAGCGGCGGAGCAACGGAGGGAGGCGCCCGAGCCTTCCCCGCCCTCGTCTTTTGTTCAGTGCCGGCTGTGGCGCGCGGGCTCCGGCTCTCGGGCGGCGGGGAGGCCCTCCGGGATTCCGAAGGGCGCGGGAGGCGCGCGCACCCCAGCTGCCCGCGGGCCTGGTCGAGCGCGCGCACGCGCAAAGTGGGGGCAAACCGGGGAGAGGGGCGGCGGGTCTCCGCCTGGCGCTCCTCCTTCCTCGGCCGGCGGCCCTTCAGCGCTGAAAGAGCGACGCGGACGGGCGGCGGCTGCAGCTCCGGATACATCGGGGGTTGGAGAGGGAAGCCTGCTTGACAGGTGCGGGGCGCGCTGATAAGGCGGGAGGCGCCTCTCCGCTGCCCGGGCCACCTTTGGTAACTTCGGAGCCATTGAGCCCCGGGAGACCCGGGCCGGGGTGGCATCCCCGGGCCGGCCAAGCAGGAGATGGGAAGAGCGGCCGCGACTCGCCGCTTGACTCCGGCCGGCGAGGAGTCCCTGGCAGAGCAGAGCTTGGTGGACGGCTGACGGGGGCGTCGACAGGCCGGCAGTCCCCGTCCCCCCCATCTGCGCCTGCCTGGACGTGGCGCATTCCGCGCATTCCTGCCGTTTTCCTCCCCACGGGCGCTGCGGACTGGGGGAGAGCAACGCGGCACGCAAAAGCCGACCGGAGCGTCCCTGCCTGCCACCCCCCATCCCCCCGTGCACCTGCGCTCGGGCCCCGCGGCTCTCCTCTCAGGCGAGAGGAGCCCCCGCTCCCTGCCCAAGCTGCCTTCTCGGCGCGGGTGGCGGTTCCTTTGCTGTGGCTTGGGAGAAAAAGGCTGTCCGGTCTCCAGGTTAGAACCCTTCGGGCTTTGCCTTGTCCTGCTGCGCCGGGAAGCCTTGGAGATTCCTGCAGCTCCGGGGTCCGAGCAGGGCGGGAGCTCGGCGCCTGGGACGGGAACTGGGCTGAAGAGGAGGCTGCCCACTGATCCCAGGACAAGTGTTTACCTTGCAGGATTGTTGTGATGCAAGTGGGGCGAGGCAGGCAGTGGTGGTGACCAGACTGCCTGAACGTTGCTGGGGCCCCTGGAATAGTCTGACTTGGCGTCTTGTAGCAGCATCTGACTGAGACTCAGAAGCTTCGGACTTGGAGCAGCTCCCTACCCTCTGCCTTCCCTGGTGGGTCTGAGGAAAAGTCCTCCCGGAAGAACCTAGTCCCCTCTTGCTGCTGACCGTGCTCCCCCCTGCACCAGCCCTCGGAACCTCTTGCCACTTGCCGCCCTCTCCTTGGGGCTCTTCTCCTGCAGTGGGGCTGTGGCTGCCAGCACAGGACGCTGGTTTCAGCTGGGGAGGCAGCCGGTCCCAAAAGCCGCCTTCCTCCTTTCCCAGGACCAGTGCTACTTTTGCCAGTTTTCTCCTTGAACCCAGGAAGGCCCCAGAAAGGCAGAGCCAGCCTGGCGCTCTTGGCCTCTGGGTGAGCCCAGACCTGCCTGATCTGTGGGCCGAGGCAGGTAGCGCAGCCAAGGCTCGGCACAGAGGTTGCACCAAAGGCTGCTGGGTTTTTGGAGAGCCTTGACCCGCTGACGCAGAACCATTTATGGCAGAGTGGATCTGGCGATGCACAACTGGGACTCTCCCCTTTGCTTTGGATGCTCTGTCAGAAGCTCTCCGGAAGCTCTGGCTGCTGTGGGTGGCTGGGCTGGGCTCTGGCCAAGGACTGCACCACCCCCACTTTTCCCAGGCTGCCTCCTGGGCTGGCCTTGAAGCCTTTGGTGCCCCTCCAAGGCTGGAAGAGAGTCGGTTGTTCTCCTCCCCCTTTCCCCCCTCTGGCAGGGTTCAGCACAGGGGGGGGGGAGAGAGAGAGGCCAGCCCTGCAGGCCCAGCCTGGCTAGAGCTCATCCCTTGGCCTTTGCTGCCCAGCTCCTCAGCCACACAAGGCCCTCATTCTCTGGAAGCACAGAGAAGAAAGACGCCTTGTGGCTGACAAGGTACAGCTCCCTCCTTCCCTCCCTCCTCCTCCTCAAACATAGCCTGCTTGTCAAGACTTGTGGCTCTGGGTAGCAAGAAGGGGGAGAAGGGGGAACAGCCAGGCACCCCTCCCCCTCCTGCCCCCCCCCCCAGCGTTCCTCTACCTAGGCAAAGAGGGGGCCAGGAGACCAGAAGCCCTCCTTTCTCTGGGGAGTGGCGCTCTCCTCCTTGGGCAGGTCAAAGACAGACAAGGCAGCCTCTCCCTCTCCTCTCTTGAAAGGAGGGCCTTGGATTAGGGGGAGGGGGTTGTGCCAGTGCTTGGGAGGGAGGAACTCCCGTCAGGCAGGGCCCTGGCTCTGGCTCTCCTGGGCCAGTGCAGATGTGGGGCTTGCAGATGGCAGTATAGGCTTCCCCTTTGGCCCTCAGAAAGTGGGCAAGATCTCTCCCCTCCCCTCAGGAAGGGAGGAATGCTGGGGGCCGCTAAATGAAGAAGGGTCATCCAGGTAAGCCGTGTTCTAGAAGCTGCCTTTACTGGGCGTTTATTTGTCAAATTCTGATCCTGCCCATCTCACGTTCTCTTTGCCAACTGTTAATTTCTCCAAGGTTCTTCTGCGGGCAACTGAGAAATAGTGATAAACGATGAGTACGTGGCATTGGAGCAAGGGAATTTGGGATTGGGGTGGGGGCACGGACCCCACAGCCAATCTACGGCAGGTGCAGAAGGGGTGGCATGCAGGAGCTCAGATTCTCCTAGGGATGTCGCAGTGAAAACAAGCCCTGGGTGACCCCACAGCTGTGGTTGCAACTGGTTGCCAAGCGGTTCTTCTTTGCAATATTTCCAGAGAGGAATTGAGACTCGTCTCTTGCAGAGAAACACCCAGGAAGCCTGGAGACATTCTGCTCGTGTACAAATGTTAGGATTTATATCCCGCCTTTGTTCTAGGAGCTGGGGGGGGGGGTGGTAATCCCAGCAACCCTGTGAGGTAGACTAGGCGGAGAGAAACCTACTCCCCCCCCCACTGAGGGGGGGCATGGACCTGCGTCTCCCTGCTGTTGCCTTCCTCACTCAAATGCTCGTTTAGACCCACGAGTGTCGTCCACTGGTGACAGTGCCATGAATCCATGAAAAGGTGTGCAATGATGCAGTCTAATCATTGTAGTAATAGAGAGAAGTTAGCTTTTTGTTGAACTTAATGAAGCTGAAGATAATCTTAGATATTTGTGCTAATTAATTAGTCATGAGGTGCCACAAGTTAACCCTGTAGATGTCAGGAGGGCTGCTTAGAGGCTCGGTTGCTCCCTCTTCTTCCCCGTTGATGAATAGCAGCTACTTTGGGTATCCTTTAAAAGTTGAAATGCATCTCTTGCTCTCGAGAAATGGGTGCAGTTATCTGTGCTTAGAGGGGAGACCTCTTGGGAAATGTTTCCCTGGACCATGGCTGGCAGAGCAACAAACTCCCCTCCCTCCCTCCCTCCCTCCCTGCAGGAAATGGAGGGCGAGGACCAGAGCCTCCTTTCCTAGGGGTAGCCTTGACCTCTCCTGTGTTTCAGCCCCAGGACGGCCTCCTTGGACTTCGGGCCATCTGTGGCCTGGCACTTCTGACACGGGCTCCCCCTCTTTCCCTCCTAGGCCAGAGGAGCCCCACCATGGAGACTCGCAACCACAACCCGGCTGCTCCCCCCTGCCAAGTACAGAAGCCCATCCAGGTGAGCAGGTGCCCTGAGAGAACTCCCTGCCCGTCAGAATGTCCTGGTCCTCCCAGGTGGCAGTGGTGGCTCAGGAGGAGACCCCGTCCGGAGGCTTCACGGACTGGAGCCCCTGGAGAGTGGGAGTGGGAGAGCCCCCTTTGGAAGCCCCTCCCAGGTCAGCCCGTGCTAATGCCTGCTCAGCTCGCTTCCCCCTCAACAACCTTTTAAAGCTGTTGGACAACTTGCCCTCCTGCCTTTTCCCACCTTCCTGGCTACCACCTTCAACTTGCCTGGCTGGAGGATGGCAATTCAGAGAGAGGGAGGGGCTTGCTCATGCCAGGAGTGGCCAAAAGGGAAGCCAGGCTGCCCGGTGCTCTTGCCCGCTTGAGGAGGGAGGGGGGCCACGCTGCTATCGACGGCCTTTCTCCCCTGCCCTGCAGAACAGCCTCCTGGACCTGACTGAGACGGGCCGAGGCCTGAAGGTGCAGACGCAGAAGCCGCATCTGGTGAGCCTGGGCAGCGGGCGCCTCAGCACTGCCATCACTCTGCTGCCCCTGGAAGAGGGTATGTCTCTGCCGCCTCGGGGGCCTCTCCTTCCCTGCTCCCCCTTGAAGGGAGGGGCCGCCCTCTCACGAAGTCTCCTTGCAGGCAAGACGGTCCTGGGCTCTGCCGCTGGGGACATTGTGCTACAGGGGGCAGGGGTGGCCCCCCAGCACTGCTTCATTGAAAATGTCTGTGGGACCCTCACGCTGCACCCCTGCGGTCATCCCTGCGCCATCGATGGGCAGCCAATCACCCGCCCCACCCGCCTGTCCCAAGGTAAGGAGAGGAGAGGCTCTGCTGGTCACCCATTATGCCGCCTTGGGCCGAGGACATCCGGGGAATGTTGGTTCTGGATCCTGAAGTCTTTCTGGACTCGGAGCTGTTAATCCTCCGACGGGACCCGCATTAGTGCGCAGCCCCTCTGGCCTTTGCGTCTTCCTGCAAGCGTGGGCCCACTCCGGTTCCCTGGCCGGGGGACTTCCAGTTGGGCTAAGCCTAGTGCTGCTAAGCTCTGGAGTTTTGGGGAGGGAAGAGCCCACCACGAGGGCCAAAACAGAGACGTGCTCCCTCCCTGCCCCGGCAGAGCCACCCAAAGCCCCAAGGCAGAGGGCGTCTGCAGGAAGGGGCCCTCCGTGGATGGCCTAGGCGCTCTTTGGGGGGTGGCACCCTGGTCAACACTGCATAAGGAGCCTCCCTGCCAGGCCACAGTGGAAGGCCAGCTCAGTGGTATGTGTGTGTGTGTGTGTGTGTGTGTGTGTGTGTGTGTGTGTGTGTGTGTG